ACCTTTTTTCTTAATGTTGCTGTTCCGGTTGCTTATTAGATACGTCCCTAATTTTCTATCCTTGTGAAAACAAATGGATCCAAAATAATGTGTAATGATTCTATCTGAATTTGTAACCAACCCTCCGCCCACCTCTGTAACCACTCCGAATTTGTAACCAACCCTCCGCCCACCTTCGGAACCACTCAGAATTTGTAACCAACCCTCCGCCCACCTCTGTAACCACTCAGAATTTGTAACCAACCCTCCGCCCACCTCTGTAACCACTCTGAATTTGTAACCAACCCTCCGCCCACCTCTGTAACCACTCCGAATTTGTAACCAACCCTCCGCCCACCTCTGTAACCACTCCGAATTTGTAACCAACCCTCCGCCCACCTTCGGAACCACTCAGAATTTGTAACCAACCCTCCGCCCACCTCTGTAACCACTCCGAATTTGTAACCAACCCTCCGCCCACCTCTGTAACCACTCAGAATTTGTAACCAACCCTCCGCTCACCTTTGTAACCACTCAGAATTTGTAACCAACCCTCCGCCCACCTTTGTAACCACTCAGAATTTGTAACCAACCCTCCGCTCACCTTTGTAACCACTCAGAATTTGTAACCAACCCTCCGCCCACCTTTGTAACCACTCAGAATTTGTAACCAACCCTCCGCCCACCTTTGTAACCACTCTGAATTTGTAACCAACCCTCCGCCCACCTCTGTAACCACTCCGAATTTGTAACCAACCCTCCGCCCACCTCTGTAACCACTCCGAATTTGTAACCAACCCTCCGCCCACCTCTGTAACCACTCTGAATTTGTAACCAACCCTCCACTCACCTTTGTAACCACTCCGAATTTGTAACCACCCTCCACCCTCCTTTAACCTTATCATCTTTTTTATGGCATGTGGTATTGAGATTTTATGGAGTCACATTTGGTCACTACATAGGCAACTTGTGATTAAAGCCCCGATAGTGGTTGACCTCACACTGCTACATTATAACATCTTATGGTACTTAGCTTCTCTAATTTAAAGCAGGATAATTGTTACACTTGATACTTTATACAATCATTCTGTACTGAGTAAGATCTAGTAGATTGTACTTATTTTATTATAACGATATTACAGGAAGGATTATTCTGTATTTTTCAGATTAGCCACATCTTGCTTTTTGTGGGTCAGTTTCTAGGGTTAGGCCCTCAGATAGCCCTGGTCTGTCTTTCTGGCACGTTGGCACTGAATTTTGTCAGTACCTATTTTGTTTCTTGTTTTGTAATGCTGTTAGAAAATAAACATGTTTTATCTGTTATGATTAGTGCTCTAATTTAGTTGACACCCCATCCCCCATCTTAATGATGACTGGAGATGCTGAGATATTAAGAAACTACATACAAAGATGTTGCACGGTGTTTGAAAAGTGCCCCATTTTTTGTTATAGATTTCTTAGACTCAGTCTGCTGTAACAGGATTTCTGATGTCATCTATTGGTTTTGTGTTGGGCCGTCAGATCCTGGACGCCCTAAAGGACTGGCCTGCGAATTGTCCTGTCTTTTGGAGTGGTAATTGTGTAACAGCAATGACTTGTTTGATATTAAGTGATTTTGCACAACTGCTTGTTATGAAGTGGTTAAATAACATGAAGACGTTCTTATGTACACAAAGCCCAGCCATTCAGCCCAGAATTAAAGTATTTTATGTGTCAACGCACACTCCATCATACTTCAGCTTGTTTTGTAGGACTCAATACAAAAAGATAATAATGGTGCATTCTTTTTTCTGCAGATCACATGCAACAGACCTAAGGAATGCAGAAGCAGCCCCCATTATAACATGTATAGAATTTCTAAGTATTGCTGTGACCATAAAACATAGTCTTTTTTTTCTTTTTCTTTTTTTTTTACAATGTTGCTGATTTTATAGGAATGTTGGTGGATTGCTGCCATACCGCAGAAAACCTATAAAAAAAACATTTCTATGGTCTAGACATGTTTATTGGGTACATGCAGGCTTTATATATATGTCAGATACATTTTATTTGAAGCAAGAAAAGATCATCTGGCACATTTGTGAGTTTTTAGAGAAGATAAGTATCATCTGATCCACAAACCGGTTAAACAGTGCAAAGAATACTAGGATGTATTTTGCTGAGCTATAGTCTGGGTATGAACGGTTATGTGTTAAAGTAAAAATAGATCTGAGTTCTTATCATATTAACTGGGATTAACTGTGAAGCACAACCAAATCTACAAACTATTTATCTAAACTTGGACAAAAACGCATTTAAAAAAATACAATCTGTAATGAAAGGATATCCCTAGGTTAATGCAAACTTGAGGAATATATGCTCTGGGTACTATTTCACCCAAGGGCTTAATAGAGAAAAACAACTGGAATTGGATTGCTATTCTAAATACCTGTTCTCTAGATTTAATGTTTTTTGCGTGTTGAAGAGGAAGGCATTAAAATTACTAAATATGATTAAAGGTTAAAATCAAATTAAGGGATTTAACCCTTTAAGGACTGCTTGATGGTCTTGGACCGACATGCCATTAAAGTACCAACAGGGCTAGATCCCTGTAGGTACAAGGCACCCCCAAGTATTATTTGTGCCGTGCTAGTTTTTTTGTGGCCTGATGGTACCAGGGAGCTCCAGGTATTATTCATGGCCTTCTAGTACCAGGAAGCCCAAGCTGTTATTCGTGGCCTGCTCTTACTAGGGATCCCAATATTTTTTTGTGACCTGTTTGTGCCAAGGAGCCCCAGGTATTATTCATGGTAATCAGTGGCTTCAGACTGACAGATGAGTGGTGTGCACTGCTCAAAGTGAGCGCTGCATACAGCCCTTTAAATCGCTGCCACTGAGTGATTGTGTTTTGCCACAGTGATTATCTCTGCATCCTGAAGGATTACAAGTTTGCTCCACACAAAGAGAGACCTACAGTGCCTGAAAATATCATTGCATGTCCCCCTGTTGATAGTGATCAGCTCTGGGCAGGGCCGGCGCTACCTGTTAGGCAGACTAGGCAGCCGCCTAGGGCACCCCTTGGGAAGGGGCGCCGCCAGGAGCTCCGCCCCCCCTCATGCTGCAGCCGCCCGTGCGCTCTGTAGAGAGCCTCAGGCGGCTGCAGCTTTGCCCAGGCTGGTGCTCAGCACTCCCTCCTGTCACTCCCTCACTGTAGCATGGCCGAGCCCTGTATGGTCCGCGGGTACAGGTAGCATCGGTCTCCTGTACCCGGCCGGACTAACAGGAAGTGCACACTCAGTGTTCACTTCCTTTTAGTCCGGCCGAGTACAGGAATCAAAAGCTCCCTGTACCCGCGGACCATACAGGGCTCGGCCACGCTACAACAGAGGTAGGGGAGGGTGGGGGGGGAAATAAATTGAAATGGAGGGTAGGGAATAAATTTAAAGGGGAATAAATTGACAGGCAGGGTGGGGGATAAATCTGACAGGAGGGGGGAATAAAATTGACAGGGAGGGTGGGAATAAATTGAAAGGGGAAATAAAATTGACAGGGAGGGTGGGGGCGATAAATTGAAAGGAGGGAGGGGGAATAAGTTGACAGGGAGGGTGGGGGAATAAATTGATAGGGAAAAGTGGGGGAATAAATTGACAGGGAGGGGGAGATAAATTGACATGGAGGGGGGATAAATTGACAGGGAGGGTGGGGAATAAATTGAAAGGGGGGAATAACTTGACAGGGGGGGATAAATTGAAAGGGAGGGTGGGGGGAATAAATTGACAGGGAGGGGGGAATAAATTGAAAGGGAGGGAATAAATTGAAAGGGAGGGGAAAGAAATTCACAGGGTGGGTGGGAAGAAATTGACAGGGAGGGGAATTGATGGGGGAGGGAGGGAGGGGGAATGAGAGTGGGGAGGGGAGAAGAGAGTGACAACGGGGGAGAAGAGAGGGACAAGCAGGGGAGAAGAGAGTGACAAGGGGGGGGGAAGAAGAGAGTGACAAGGGAGGGAGAGGGGGGAGAAGAGATTGACATCCATCACACACACACACAATGCACCCCTTACACACAAAGACAATGCACCCCTTGCACACAGAAAAACAAACAATGCATTACACACACAGACACACACACAAGCAATTCAACCCTTACACACAATGCATCCCTTACACACACAGAAACACAAAATGCATTCCTTACACACACTCAACGCATCCCTTACACACACTCAATGCACCCCTTACAGACGCACACACTGCATCCCGTACATACACAGAAACACACCTTGCAGCCCTTACACATACAAACACAGATTCACACAATGCATTCCTTACACACATATCAGGACACCCCCCTACTCCACCCCCTGTGAACAAACTCATTTGTGGAACATGAAGGTGGACCCTGGGACCCAAACCTTGAGCTGTGTAAAGGGCCTTAAAAAAATGGAGCTGCTTCCCGTTCTCCCAGAACATTGATTTTTGTGACCACAGTTACAAACAGCCTCCAGAGAGCCTGTTCTACACCCGCCCAGCGCTGGAGAAAAAGTAAGTTTTAACCCCTTTCCATCTTCCAGAGCCGGGCGGGAGGGGGAACCTGAGGGTGGGGGCACCCTCAGGGCACTATAGTGCCAGGAAAACGAGTATGTTTTCCTGGCACTATAGTGGTCCTTTAAGATTATCAAAAGTTTGAAGCCAGAAGGCTTGTAGTATTTACTGGATAAGCATCAGCTCATTCAAAATAATGCAACCTCTTAAGGCGATGCAGTATGAGCTGAATAAGTAATCATGGTAGACATGTGCAATTCGTTTTGTTCCGAATGCAAATTCGGACGAATTTCGGAAATTTGGACATTCGGATGCTTCCGAATGTCTGAAGTGCCGGATTTTGGAATGCCGAACCGAAGTGCCGAATTTCCGAAGTTCCGAATTTTGGAACGCTGAACCGAACCAAATTGCTGAAGTGCCGAATTTCCAAAGTGCCGAAGTGCTTTGGATTTCTGAAAAGTGGCAAAACAGGAGAGGGTTGGCATTAGGGGTTGGAGGAGGGTTAGGGGTAGGGTTTGTGGTTGGGGTAGGTTTAGGGGTTGGGGTAGGGTTAGGGTTAGTGGTTGTGTAGGGTTAGGGTAGGGGTAGGGTAACCCTACCGCTCACCCTATGCTAACCCTAACCTTACCCCTAACCCTACCATAACCCTACTCCTAACCCTAACCCTGATCCTAATGCAACCCTACCCCTAACCTGACCACTAGCCCTACCCTAACTCTACCCCAAACCCTACCTCTAACCCTAACCTTACCCCTAACCCTACCCTTAACCCTACCCTAACCCTAATCTAACCATACCCCTAACTTAACCCTACCCCTAACCCTACCCTAACCCTACACTAACTTAAGTTTCCAAGTTCCAAAATTCCGAAGTGCCAAAGTTCCCGAAGTGCCGAAGCTCTAAAGTGCTGAATTTCGGAATGCCGAACCGAACTGAAGTGCCAAAGTTCCGAAGTTACAAAGTCCTGAATTTCGGAATGCCGAGCTGAACCGAATATTTTTCCCATGCACATCCCTAAATCATGGTCAATGTTGAGACAATAGGTGAAAAGATAGAGGTCAAACAATGTAGAAGTTATATATTAAATTTTAAGATTTTTTTTTTATCACTGAAAGTTATTTTGGAAACATAGAAACATACAATGTGACGGCAGATAAGAGCCATTCGGCCCATCTAGTCAGCTCAATTTTCTTAATACTTGCCTTAGTCTCGTATATCTAGGATAGCCTTATGCCTCTCCCACGCATGCTTCAACTTCCTCACAGCTGGAAGGCTAGTCCATGCATTCACTACCATCTCAGTAAAGTAATACTTCCTTACCTTTGCCCCTCTAATTTAGGACTCTTTATGTCCTCTTGTTGTTGTAGTTTTCCTTCTTTTAAATACAGTCTCCTCCTTTAATGTGTTGATTCCCTTTATGTATTTAAATGTTTCTATCATATCCCCCCTGTCTCGTCTTTCCTCCAAGCTATACATGTTAAGTTACTTTAACCTTTCCTTATAAGTTTTATCCTGCAATCCATGAACCAGTTTAGTAGCCCTTCTCTAAACTCTTTCTAGAGTATCACTATCCTTCTGAAGATACGGTCTCCAGTACTGCGTACAATACTCCAAGTGAGGTCTCACCAGTGTTCTGTACAATGGCATGAGCACTTCCCTCTCTCTACTGCTGATACCTAGTAAAACCTCTGAAGTTTTTCAGACCCTTACATATTCTTTTGAAGTGATTCACAATATAACTCAATATTGGCATATACTGTACATCCTGTTTATCATTACCAACCATAAAGAAGCATCTCATGTTGAGGCCAATGACCCCCATCAGTTTTATACAAAAGCTGTGGTTTGTGACACCTCACATGGAAAACAGTATTTCATTTCCTTCCACTCACTGAGGATGGATGATAATCTACTTGCTTAAATCATGACTATTCTTATAGATGTTAAGATAAACCATCATTCTACAGCTTCAGCTTAAAAAAATGCAGGACCCAAAATGGGACCACATATTTCTTTAGAAGGCTATGTTTGCCACTATGAA